TTTTTCTGACAAAACTGAGATTCCTTATAGATGATTATTTAGAGCAACTACTCCTTACTTGTACCATTACACATGTCTTTTGTGTAATCAAGAGTGGTGAAAAGAGAAATGTGTAGTGTGATGCAGGTAACAATCATCAGAGTGTTCAGATGGAAGGGGAGAGACGTGGTATTGAGGAGCACCAGGAAGGAATATGTGACACTGACATGTCGTGGTGGAATCGGGCACTCGTCAATTTTTGGGCACGTGGAGTTATTGGTATTATCTTCAATCTTGTTCTTTTGTCTTGCTTTCGTTAAAAAAAATTACACATCTATCTTGAATAGGAGTCCAGATGTTTGAAATTGAAATTGAAGGAGATGGTGTTGATTGTTTTCATAAGTAATATTAGCGAGAAAATGGCCGACAAAGTTTGGTGACTACCAAAGCTTGAGAGTCCCTTGGAAAATGCAAATTTACATCTTTTGTGCCTATGATCAATGTTTTTCAGTAAAATCCACACATGAATGTGTTTTTAAATGAACATTAAAGATATTGAGCCCCAAAAATTTTTTTTTGAAAAAAAAGTACAGATTTCTTTGAGTTCATTATTTTGACAAGCGTCTGATTTCACCCTGATGCATCACATATAGAAAAAGTGTGTTTTGCCTCTGTCAGTTGTTGGGGACATGTCGAAAAACTGGGTGCAGTGTAGGTTTAGGTTCATGGGACAATTTTTTAATGTGATGTATGGCACTGAGGGAATGGATATATTTCTTTTTATGTTTGGAGACTTGTACAATATGCTGTCAGCTTCAGTTTCTGGATGGAGAGTTTTGTCTGAAATAGTATGGTACCTCATTAAGGTTTAGTAAGGTTTTACGGCGCTCTCAACTGCTTAAGGTCATATGAGCGCCACTAGTACATCCAGTACAATTCAACTTCTGCTTGCCCACGTGTAGATTGAGTGAGGTTTGAGTCTGTTAGTTGTGGCCTTGTTTTGAAAAAAACGAGTTCGGTCATCGGCTTGTGAAGGTGTGCACTGTTGTCGGTGTTTGCAGTGTCTGGGTTTGTGAGGTTGGCGCTGTTTTGTGTTTTGAGAGTCAAGTCCTGCGATGAATTCAAGTCAGAGACATTTTGCCTCGTTGTCCTTCGGTTCAGGACGTTCATTGGTTCTTCCCTAATACAGGATGTTGTCTGTTTAACAAACTGTTTGCATTCTTTAAGAATTGTCGGAGTCCACTTGAAATTTTGTGGAAAAAAGATGAGTTTGTTGATTAAATTTGAATCTGCTCAGTAACTTTTTAACCCTATTCGTACGCCCTGGGGTCATTTTGTACCCCCGGGGTTGTATTCTTCATATTTTAGAATACTTCTAGTACAAAGATTTATTTGAAACTTTCAGTATTTCTCTGACTGCTATGCAAAACATACGGATCGGATTAACGAGTAAATTTCCTCTTTGAAAGTGGTGGCACAGAGTTCCCCTGTCGTATGGATACGATAATAAAACACGACGTACGGATAGAGTTAAGAAAGGGAGTGTGGTGTCAGTTGATTTTGATCATGTTTTGTCCAGCATTGTTTGATGGGATTTGTCCGGAGAGAATGACTTGGTTGAGAAAGAGTGGTGGTCATTCAAAAGTTTGGGGTGTCCACAGCACCCTTCTTTGTTCCAATTCAAATTTTGTTTTGATCTTAGCTTGTTATGTAGAGGAGGGTATAGTGGCAGATACTGAGCTTGTTATGTAGAGGAGGGTATAGTGGCAGATACTGAGCTTGTTATGTAGAGGAGGGTATAGTGGCAGATACTTCACAGTTCTACTGGCAACCTGCGGAGATTGTTTCAACCAAACAATGGAATGCTTATTTAAAAAGAGTGCTGTGATTTACCTTGGGTTTTTTGTTGTTTTTGTTGTTTTGTTTTTTTAATTGAGCACTGAAAACACAAATGAAGGTGACTCAAAAGTTGAAGAGCTTTTTGTTAGAAATGTGTACCTGTGACACCCTCTTTGATTGTGATATGTACCGTACTAACCTTTCCCCAACACAGTGTGTGCATATATATATATATCATGATGGAAGTTCTTAATCTATTGCTACTACTATACAACTGCAGCTTTGGGGTGTGTGTGTGTGCTGTGAGAGCAGATTCTTACGCCGTAATACCATGGAGAATGATGTACCATAGTTAGGACATATGTGTGTGTACCTTTCATTTGATTGTATGTTGATGGAAGGATATTTATTATACTTGTTTCTGTACTTAAAGTGGGCCAGGGGACATAAACAGTCCGCTGTGCAGACAGAAAGGTCTGCCTCTCCTCCTCGCTGTAACCTCTCTGTGTGTAGGGCATGGGATCTTTCCTCCGTTTCTATTTGACAAAAGACGGTGTGTATCAAACGACTCACTTGCAAGCTCTATGCTTTTCTTTGTCTAGGTGCTGTTACATTACAACTGAAACAATTGACAAAATGGAATTTGCAGACCGCATTCTAATCTTTCATATGCCATGGTTTTATGGATGGATGTTTCAGATCTAGTACACTCCCACAAGGAGTCAGCTAAGCATTTTTTCATGATTAGTTTTTCATTCCAGTGTACAAAAAAAATATTAATGAAAAATAATGAAGAGATGGTTTAAAAAAAAATCTAATCCTAAATGCATGGAGTTGTGATGCTGTGCTCCCAGCGTAGTCAGCCTCACAGTTCTCTACCCTGTTTTGACTTCCCTTATTATAATGTGCAGGCCTACTTTTGTCTCAAAGAAACCAAAGTGTGAAACCTCTGTGCTATCACAAACTTGTCAGACTAGACTTAGTCAGGGTTGCCACTGAGGAGCTGAGCTGATCTTGCAGAAAGAGGCAAATGTTCACAAAAAAGAAGCCTATGTGTGTACGTTCTGCACTGTGTAGTTCTCAGCCGTGATCCGTCGCCTGACAAATTGGGGGGGAAACTTCCTGCCGCGCCTAGCTGATTGGGCACTGGCGTCTAGATTCTAGGTGGCTAATGCCTTTCATTGTTTTGCTTAGTTCTACTGTTATTGCAGCTGGGCTGTGGGGGGAGTGAGCGCAGGGCAGAACCTTTAGGTGGTACCAAATGCTCTCGCACGCTCATCCCCTCTCATCCCCTCGTGCGGTGTATTTGAAAAGTGTAGTGTAAGTGTCTCATCGACACAATTTAGATCATGTAGGAGGTGACGGTTCTTTTGATGGAACGACATTTGTTGTTCTTTGTCTAGAATGGAGATGTGTGGATTCTTCCTCATTTTCTTGAGACTGAGGTTTTGTGGAGTCCAGTGTTAGTTGGTGCAAGGTTCACTGTTGAAAGATGAGATTGATTTAGCGAAGCCATGTTGGCAAATATACTTGTCTGCTTTCTCTGTCTGTCACACTCATGGTGAGAATTGGGCGCTGTTAACTCATTGAGGACGTGCTGTTTGGGAATATTTTTTAAAGCCATAACTTCGTTATATTCATGTAGATTTTTCGATTCTTTTGTAGTTGTCTAAAACTTTAAGGAGGAAGGCAAAACACTCGCAAAAAAATAATAAAAAAGTTATAGATCATGTCTCTCATTTGTGCATGACGATTTTGAATGTGCAGCAACATTGCCTTTTATGTGCAGATGGTCGGACTTATGAGTCTGCTACGTCCTCACAGAGTTAAGGACAAGCGGGCTAACCCAGATTTCAGGGGGTTTCCAGAAATCTTGACCTACACCAAAAGTGGGCATTGCCCTACCTGTAGGAGAAGTTTGGTTTTATTGGTGTGTATATTTGTTTGGTTATAGAGAAAACTCTCCTTGGATTTTAAAGAAACTGAACAGGTGCAAAAGCTTTACCTTGGATTTTCTCAAAACATCATTTTTCTGGATAGCCCCCTTGTGCTTAAAAGCGACCAATTGTCTGAGCTATGTTCACTTGCACTCGTGGCAGTCGTGGTTCGCAATGTGGTTCTCCAGTACTTGAAAGTTTCCATGAAACTGGACTCACGACCTCAGTGCTTTCTTGTCGTATCATTTTTTTTAAACAGTGAAAATGTGAGATCTTCTCAAGCTCACTCTTTGTTATGAACTGTTTTCACTTTTATTAAAAATGGAGACAGGACAAGAAAGCACTGGGGTCGCGACCTTCTCACGGCTGAGACATGTAGGCTTCTGTCATGTAGGCCAATCATGTATGAAAGGGAAAGTCTTTAGTGTACTGGGGTCACAACGTGGTGCACTGGGGTCACAACGTGGTGCACTGGGGTCACAACGTGGTGCACTGGGGTCACAACGTGGTGTACTGGGGTCACAACGTGGTGCTTGGAACATGACTTGTTGAAAGGCAAAGTAGGAATGGAAGAGACTTCCCTCAGCACTCAGAGGAGGAAGTGTGTTCTGTACAGTCTTGTTCTTTACACATTGATGCATACACACGTGCACACACACACACATACACTCCCACACACACATACACACACACATACACTCCCACACACATATACACACACACACGTACACACACATACACACACATACACACACACATACACTCCCACACACACACATGTGCACACACACACACACACACACATACACACACACACACACGTGCACATACACACATATACTCATACACTCCCACACACACACATACACTCCCACACACACACAGACGCATGCAATAGCACACCTGCATCAGTCCCCACTTCTCTACTTTTCGTTCTGAACACTGATCTGATCCTGCTGTACCTTGCACAAAACGACTCGCGTGTCTGTCCGTCTTTGTCTTTACCTGTCCCAGAGATGGATACAGTAAGTGTGGTGATGACTTATGTTGGCGGGTGCTCTGCTGTGGTCTGCTCCTTTTTTCCTATCAAACATCCATCGTCCTGATCTCTCCTCCTTCTCTTTTGTGTTTGTTACTCTCTTGTAACACCTCTAATCTTCGGCGCTTATATGACCTTATTGTGTTGCAAGTGACGTAAAACTTTTATGAAAACTTGACGTACTTTGTTTCTTTCTTCCTCACCAGGTCAGTGCCGCTCTCCCGTACTACTAAAGTCAGCATGATCCGATGATGATGATGATGATCCGATTATGATGATAATGATGATGATCCGATGATGATGATAATGATGATGATCCGATGATGATAATAATGATGATGACGACAACGCAGCCCAGGGACTCTGAGGGTTTTTGGCCAGCAAACATGATGTCTCACTCGCGGCAGAAAGTACACCACAGCCCCCC